CGCGCCGGGCTCCCATCGCGCTTCCGGGCCGAGGAGGCGGGGCTGGGGCAGCGCAGGAGGAAACGTGGCCCAGCCGTTTCCAGGGGGCTCCGGGCGGGTTCCGGCCAATATGCGACGCTGGTAAATACCTTTGGGGGGAGGGGGGCGGGGAAGAGAAGCATCAAATTTCAACCCCAAAAAAAAAAACCGCCCAAAATCCCCCACAGCCCCGGGCGGGCGGGCGCGCGCGATGGGCGCACTTAGGCTGCGGGAGCGAGAGGAGGATGCTGGGAAGGAGGTAACATGGCCACCGGCGGCGGCACGGAGGAGGAGAGGAAGCGGGGCCGCCCGCAACTCCTGCCCCAGGGGCGGCCCGCTGCCCGAGCGGAGGAGCCCGCCGGCGCCCGGGAGAAGCTGGGCTGGGCGCAGGTGGTGAAGAACCTGGCCGAGAAGAAAGGCGAGTTCCGCGAGTCGCGGCCGGCGCGGCGCGAGGAGGAAGGCGGCGGCGGCGGCGCGCTCGGGGCCCCGGCGGGTCTGGCGGCCTCGGTCTTCGGGGACTTCCCCCCAGCTGGCCGCGGGGACCCCAAAGGCCGCCGGCGAGAGCCCGCCGGAGAGGCGGGCGACCCGCGCAAGAAGAAGGCCTTCGCCGACGCGGCCCGGAGCAAGCAGGCCGAGGCGGCGACCATGGCGGCCCCGGCTTCCCCCGGAGCGGCCGAGGACGCGGCCGAGGGGCCCCAGCTGGACGAGGCGGCGGGCCCGGCGGCGGCGCCGGGCAAGGGACGCTTCCTCGTGCGCATCTGTTTCCAGGGCGACGAGAGCGCGTGCCCGACCCGGGACTTCGTGGTGGGCGCGCTCATCCTGCGCTCCATCGGCATGGAGCCCGGCGACATCTACGCGGTCATCCAGATCCCAGGCAGCCGCGAGTTCGACGTGAGCTTCCGCTCGGCGGAGAAGCTGGCCCTCTTCCTGCGCGTCTACGAGGAGAAGCGCGAGCAGGAGGACTGCTGGGAGAACTTCGTGGTGCTGGGGCGGAGCAAGGCCAGCCTGAAGACGCTCTTCATCCTCTTCCGGAACGAGACGGTGGACGTGGAGGACATCGTGACCTGGCTCAAGCGCCACTGCGATGTTCTGGCCGTGCCCGTGAAAGTGACCGACAGGTTTGGGATCTGGACCGGGGAGTACAAGTGCGAGATCGAGCTTCGCCAGGGGGAGGGCGGGATCAGGCACCTGCCCGGGGCCTTCTTCCTGGGGGCCGAGCGCGGTTACAGCTGGTACAAGGGGCAGCCCAAGACCTGCTTTAAATGTGGTTCCCGGACCCACATGAGCGGCAGCTGCACGCAGGACAGGTGCTTCAGGTGCGGAGAGGAGGGGCACCTGAGCCCTTACTGCCGAAAAGGCATCGTGTGCAACCTCTGTGGCAAGCGAGGACACGCCTTTGCCCAGTGTCCCAAAGCAGTTCACAATTCCGTGGCAGCCCAGCTCTCCAGCGTGGCTGGCCACTGAGCACCCACCCGCCAGCCTGCCGGGGTGAACACAAAGCTTGCCCCCCCCTCTTAAGTGCCAAAACATTTTTTGAAACCATTTTTTATCATTTTTGAAGGACATTTTTTTAAAAAAAACACCTCCAAGAGACATCTCCCTCTGCCTTGTTAAGCCGAGTTTACACCATTTCAGCTTTTCCTTGAATTGGTGACGCTCATCAGTAATGATTACCGAGAACTGTGCAGATATGTCGCCTACCCCCCCCTCCTTTTTTTTTACACGTTTGTTTGCGTTTTTATATTGGTTGTTCGGTGTTGTGGGTATGGGTTTTTTTTTTCATTTGTTTTTTAACTTCCACTATCCCACCCCATATCTGGACGTCTCCACGGATTGTCATTCACTGGGATGCCTTGAGCATCCGCCCCAGCACTAGGTTGGGGTCCAGCACTTGGGAGGCATTCTATCAGTATTTATTGGATTGAAAACCATGTCTGTTGTGGCTTCAATCAGGACGCCTGCCATTTGCAGCCCCTCCCACCCACCCCCAAGCCCCACTTACGTTGCTGCTTCTGATCTATTGTGGTCTGAAATTGTGAAACCCGTGTTGTTGGAAGTGTATGTAAATCTGATTCACTAAGCTCTGAAAGGTGGGCGAGGGCCTCTCCTAGTGGCAAAAATTGCATGGACTTTGACACAGCGCCTTCCTTCCATGGTTCAGAAGCCATTTTTAAATAGAATCATGGAATCTAGAATGTTCTTGCTGGTAAGAACCCTGGTTTTCCAGCAGGTGTGAAAACACAGGCCCAGAGAGGTTAAGTGACTAAGTCAAAGTCTCCTTGCTGTTTGTCTCGAGCTGAGCCTAGAGTCCAGCCCCCTGACCCCAAAAAACCCGGTGCTCATTCCACTACCTCTCACACTTCACAACATTTTTTACCTTGTCACTTGAGAGCCCAGAATGTCTGATATCCCCAGAACGATGAAACCAGAGGAATGTCGAAAAATCAATCTGGGGGGTGCAAGCAGGGAGACAAAG